TCATGTTGTACTTCCTTTAAATTTTAAATGTCTGTTCTTTTTTATATAGTCTGTGCACTTTCCAATAATTTTATTGAAGCTCCTAATACTTATTAGTGAGCCCCCTGATGTAACAAAGCAACAAACAAATAAATAAATAAATAAATAAATAAATAAATAAATAAATAAATAAATAAATAAATAAATAAATAAATAAATAAATAAATAAATAAATAAATAAATAAATAAATAAATAAATAAATAAATAAATAAATAAATAAATAAATTCGGGCAATAGTATACGTCCATTCCCCCCCCCCCCCGCAGGATTTTGAGTCGTCCAAATTTTTTTTTGAGGGGCGACTCAAAATCCCTCGGGAAAATAGACGTTTGCTATTTTCCTAGTGGCCAGTCAATATGTGTTCACTAGTTACCTGCGTTCTATTTGCCGTTCGCAAGGGACGCCGGGAATCAGCAAAGTAGAATGGCACCGAACGCCAACGCTTTGAAACCTTCCAATACAAGAACACCAGCAGACTATTCAGTTTTATTCTGTTCCACTGTTCGCTGTTTTGTTTTCGTGTTTCGTCAATTTTTAACAAGGGTAAGTGTTATGATATGTCTACAGGATATTATTTTCGTTCGAATTCAGGGTGATTACATATGTATATAGAGACAATTAATATTCTGTTGAGTTTTTTCAATGTTAACGTTCTCGTGTTTTTTTATTTATTATTTTGCAGTAATCATGTCTCTTAAGAGAAAATTGTTTTTTGTGTTATTGGTTGTTATTCTGTTGTCATGCACGGTCGAATCAAGACGCATGAGAAGAGGAGGAGCACCACCAAGACGATCACCAAAGTCCCGGTCAGATTGTCCATCAAGTTGTCATTGTGCTGGCGATGCGGCAATTTGTTGGCAGCCATTTTCAAAAGACACTCTCTTGCCATCTAAGTACAAAACACTGTAAGTTTGTTTCTGATATTATTAAGTTCGTAAACTGTAAACGTAATTTTACAATGCCCTGAAGAGGAATTCATAACTAACAACGACTAATCGAAAACGGAATTCCTGAATTCATTATCGTCATTAATCGTCACTTTGATGACTAACATTGGAATTGTCGCTATTGTTATATTTTAGTCAGGTCGTGGACATGTCTGTTAAAGATATTACTACTATACTGGTTAACACTCCTTCCATCGAAACACTAGTGTAAGTATAAAATAAAAATGAATATTTATTTACTTGTTGTCAAACCGGCTGATTTGATCACGTGATTTGCACTACTCGGTCATAATTTATCTTTTTTTTCTTCGTTCAGATTGAGAGATTCGAGACAAAACAGGATTACTTCTGTTCCAACAGATTTTTTTTCTCAACTGGTTAACCTGAAATTTCTGTGAGTATATGTTATATATTTCCGTGATGTCTATATTCATGTGTATACGTAGCCAACTTGTCTGACGGCGATCCGTCTTCTAATTTATATTTTTTGAAATGAATTGCAGCAATTTGAGTATTTTTGCCTGGTGAACAAATGAGCACAATTAAATTACTCTTTTTTGTTAGGAATATACCAACTATGAGAAGAAGAGAATTGCCACTTAATATCGTCCAAGCATTGAAACATGTAAATAACCTCGAAAAGTTGTAAGTATTATGCATTTCCCGGAAATAGGGGCTGAAATTGACGGATAACACAATTTTATTTATTTATTTATTTATTTATTTATTTACTTATTTACTTATGTGTGGTTTGTTGCAACTAATGAACATTTTTGTTTGAATTTCAAAAATTATGAATCACTATTTTTCAGGAATATCGATAAAAATAAAATGCCCTGTTCTTGTGATCTTTTGGACTTGGTTGATGCACGTGGCATTGAGCTTATTGGACCTGGTTTCCAGCCTGTACGAGGTTGCAAACGCAACGGATTTCCCATTGACACGTACAATTTTGATACATTCGTCTCAGTGTGTGGTAAGTACATTTAAGATAGTCGTTGGGCAGTTTTTTTCACCCATCTACATAGTCTACTTCCCTGTTACATCACATAAGCGACGTGTCGCTAGATGGCGCGATTTATAAAGCTTTTTCACAACAAATCTCCAGCCCGCATATTTCCAAGCATTCGATCATAATCACCTGGAACATATTTTATAAATTTGTATACCACAGCGGCGCAATGTTCTTTCAAAACCACGTGATGTGTAACAATCATACAATTTAATCTTTTCAGATGATATGAGATCGGCTGTCACTGATTCGGAATTTGAAGACGATAGCATTCAGGGTATAGAGTTAACTACCGATGGTCATGCAATAACAACGGCACGGTTTACTGAACGTGGGCAAGCTAATGTAGAAGATCCTCAGCACGCGATCAACATAATGGGTGATTTGGAATCCAGTGAAGAAGGTAAACTCAAGGGCGTTTTTTCCGATTTAGGCGCCGATGATGATTTGTATGAGTACTATGAAGTAGATCCCAACTTTGGGGAAACTTTTCAGGCTGAATTTGAAGCGAACCAGTTCGAGCATAGTAAGTAACAATGTTAAAGCGAGAGGGTCGTCACCTGCGCACGCGCGGGAATTGAGTCCCAAGCGATGATAACAACACACGCTAAGAACGCAAAGGCTCATGGTTAGACGCTTGTTTGTAAACAATGGCACGCTATGGCCACCTGACGCATGCGCAGGTGACGAGTCTCCCGCTTTAATCACTCACTCTTACCATGGGCGTACTAGTTTTCGTCCTGGTGTACTCTCATCTCGACACTCACTTTCTCTGTAATAATGATATATAGAAAACGGTACAGGAGATGATCGTAGTCCTTTTCAATTATTCAATACGACCAGACGTTTCGGGAAATGTATTCTTCTTCATTGGATAATCTTAATACAATGTATATCAATTTCTGTCTTTTCACAGCGTTCGTTAACTCCCAGAATGAACGAGAAAATATTGTGGACATCGGCCTGGACATCAACGACCAATATGACCTTGCATTGTTACTTCGTTATCTCCGGCGATCTAAACTGTTACAAAACGTTGAAGTCGATGATGTCCTGGAAATATAATCTACTTTGCCGAAAACACTGTATGACCCAACCGTCTATGAATATTTTTAAATGTCAAAACGAAACAAAAATGAAATAAAATTTCTGAAACCTCATTCCTGGCTTGGTTTGTAATAAGTATGTGTGTTTGTTTGTAAATTCAAATAGTGAATTCAAAATGGTGCAAATTTTAATACGCGATTCGCAGAGAACTAACTTTGACGCCTTGTCGATGTCATAAAAATAAGTGCACATTATTCGAGTTTACGTTTTTTTAACATTTTTAAATTAAAATATGTTCATGTGCAAAAAAAGGAGACGCAGTTCTCATTTTATGAAATGTCAAAATGTCACGGTATATTCATTGGTCTGTAGTTATACCCTTACTTAATCGAAAATTGCCTATCATCAATATGTGGACAGCACATTATTAAGCATGGAAATGTCCCCGAAATACTTTCGCGTTTGTCGAATCCCACGCGATGTTGACGCGACTGCGACGCTATGACCTTTGTTTGTCCTGTTTTTACGTTCGATTTCACGCATAACGCGTGATTCTCGCAGTGAACGGAAAATGGTCTATTGCCTTCCAATCCTCGGGGCGGAGCTACGTCACAAGACGTTCCACGTAGCTAAGACGCGTACCACTTATTTACATGGGCTCTGCGCGCGCTGCTGAGGAGCGCGGAACGCAGAGCTAAATGAGCCGGTGAAAATTCGAGAAAACAACAGGAACTCAACTTTGAAGTATTATTTATATGAGTTACACACGCAGGGGTAATCTTGCTACACTGTTCAGGGGAGTCTCAACAACCATCCCAAAGTACCATTTTCCGACAGTTTTCGGCCTTTGTTTTCACAGTGATGGTTGCCATGCGGTGAATAGGGAACCGAACTGCTCGGAGTGCGTGCGAGCACAGACAAACCGTTTTCATTCCATTATTCTTTTCAGAATTCGCTCTTTCCATTCTTCCTCTCACCCTTGGAAGTAAAACTGATTACTCTAATATTCACAAATAACCAATAGGTATGTGTGTTTATTTAACAAATACTTTATGATTTTCAATGCGATGCGAGTTTGTATTTTCATAATATTGGTATATTAGAGTATTAGTGTATTCGAAAAAAAATCTATCGATTCCGACCCTGTCGTGGAGCGTCGACTCTATTCTACAGACCGAGTCGTTAGCCAAAAATCGTACAAATGTCGCGCTGATGTAAGGGAACAAGTATATATTAGTAAATTGTACCCTAACCTTTGATCCCTGTGTAGAGCCATCCCCTTGATCTGCAATTCCCATCCCGGGGAGATAAAAAGTCAGTATAAAATTAATGTTTTTTGTTCACAACAACAATATTTCATTTATATGCTTCTATATTGTCATTCAAGCACCACTCGCCAGAACATTTCCAGCACAGTAAATGTCATTATTAATACAGTTATGTAATTATTATTTGCAGACGATGTTGTTTTATTTTCTGATTCTATTATTGGCCTACATAGGCTGTTAAATAGCTTAAGTGAATACTGTAATGTTTGGAAACTGCCTGTCAATCTGACCAAGACTAAAGTTGTTGTTTTTAAAGGCGGAGGTAGGATTTTAAGTACTGAAAAGTGGTTATATAATAACGTAAGACTAATGTTGTTTCATATTATAAGTATTTGGGAGTGATGTTTTCCTGTCGATTGAATTGGTCCACTTCTACTAAAATACTCGCCCAACAGGCTAAAATTCGTTAATGTGTTTACGCAAGCGCGTCAGTAAATTAGACCCCTTGCCCTATGAACATTTCTTTAGAATTGTTGATACTATGATTTCCCCTATTCTAACTTACGGGTCTGAAATTTGGTGTCACCAGGGTTATGATACGCTTGAACGCGTCCAGCACCTTGCATGTAGAATGTTCTTGGGTGTTTCCTGTAATATTCGCTAATAAAACAACAGACTATTTATAGGTCAGGTGAAACTTACAGACATGAGGTTTACTCCCCTGTAACACGAACAAACATACAGAGCAAAAGTATCTGGATATATGACCACTAAAGGGCGCTATATGTATTATCATACATTGGTTATCTCTACACCTCCCTTTAAAGTACAGAAGGGCTGAACTGAAGCTAATGTCCTGTATCAAGTGTTCTCACTTTGTTCGTAACAAGTCCACAAATGTTTCTCTGAATACAACACAACACAACATAATGTAATTCATTAACTCTAACTGCAATATATCAACTAACATAATATTCACTAATAATGAACTGCTAAACTAATGTCAATGTCTGCTTTGGTGACATTACAATAAATCTAGACACTGGCATCTTCACAATTCTTCCAGACCTTGTTTTTACAATGCCATTACCAGGTTTGCTTGGATGGTCTTTTGCAGTGGGTGTTTGTTTGTTGATCAGTAGAATCTGGTGTGTATTTCACTGGAGATGAATGAGCTTTAGATTTTTGGAGATTCCGGTTCATTAGTTGTGTGAACTAGTGCTCTCCTATTGCGTCTAACAATACCTTGATTAGATTTGACAAGGTAAGATCTTGGATGTTCAGTGGTCTTTACTATATGACCATGTCGGCCTTGATCTCGAATCCATACTTTGTCACCAGGGTGAAGTATGGGAAGTTCACGCGCTCGATGTCGCTGGTTGAACTTAATTTGTTGATTAGATCGATAGATGTCTTTACTCTCTTTCACTTTCTCAAGATCTTCATTGCGAAGTCGTGCTTGTAGAGTATTTGGGAGCATCGGTAGTTGTTTTGCGTAGTAGTCTTCCCATCAGTAGCTGACTTGGTGCAAGATTATTTTGTAGTGGTGTGGTTCTGTAGGAGAGAAGAGCGAGGTATGGATCTTCATTTTGCTTGAGCAGATCTTTGACAGTTTGTACTGCTCTTTCAGCTTTACC